TCTCTGAGGTAGAAGTTTAGAACATGTTCCTTTCCTCTAGTATGTAATTATAGAATCAGTAATTTAAATATATATTTATATTTATATATATATATTTAAAGTAACGAATTTTTGTGTCCGAACACAAAAATGCACTTTATTTGAAAAAACTTTCCTTTTTCCGATGGATTAGAACTTCTGATCCTCAAACCATAGCGAATAGCCGCAATTTGGGAAATATTGTCCCAATAAAGCAAAAAATAATGTGATTAAAGCTCAAATGAAAGTACATAACTGGACAGTTCTTTTTGTTCATTTATGTACTTTTATTTGTGTTTTGATTCACGTTGTTATTTGCTTTAGTCTACCTACCACAAAGTATACACTATCCCTTGTTGAATGGTCTTAAATGTATGGTCAGGAGATAGGCCGAAAGTTTGGACCCCTTAATCTTAATTTTACTTTTCGTGCATTTCGTCATATCTCGAGAACTTTTAAAGCAAATTGAAAAATTGTTGCATACAATTATAAAATTTGTTTATCCAAAGATAATTCCATGAAAAATATTTTAAATAATTATCATTTATGTTTTATTATTTTATTTAGAGGTCCACAATACGTATAAGTCATCGTAAGGTATACAGTCTCTTACCATATTTTAAAGAAAACATAATTGTACTTGACAAAAAACAAAATTTGTGCGAATACAGTCGAATATTTCCTATGAAAAAAAAAGAATTTTTTTTAAAGAAAAGTTATATTCTATTAATTATATTATCGAATGCAAAAAAAAAAACAAAAAAAAAAGAGAAATGCTAAAAGAAAAGATTGCCCGTTGCACCAATATAGCAGCAAAAATCTGGAGTTAATATTAATAAAAAAAATTATTTGAAAAAACATAAGTGAAGGAAATCAACAAAGAACTACTCATTTTTACGAAAAAATAATATAAACTTTAAATTTAATTTAAAAATCATTAATCAGATCGTGTTTTGAATAAAAATTTTAAATTCTCCCTTTTCGAATTAATTTCCTTCTCTCTCTTTCTTTTTTTTATTAAAAAAAATACTTTTACAAAATATTTTGTGTGAAAAAATTATTCTTCAAATTTTAATATTATAGAGAGGTATTAACACAACAAATTTGGCCATTAAATTCAGTTATATCTATCTCAGCAATGATCTTGTTATAAAACCCAAATATTGGCAAAAGTTGCCTATTATGTATTAGTAACTATTTTCCCCATTTCTTTTAAACGAAAAGTTTAAGATATTTTCTTTCAAAAATAAAAAAATTTTCTTCCAAAATAGATTTTTATTTTTAAAATAAATAAATAAATAAAAAAATAAAATTTATCTGAACACTGTTTTTCTATTCTTCAACAGTTAATTAACTTCAAACTAAATGTTTAAATAGTCCGACATATAAATTTTCTTATTTCGATAAAGCTAGTTTATCTTTCTTTTCGGATAAGAGAAAACTCCATTTTTAATTTGTTAACTTTGTTTCATTACTGAAATTTTTATAATTTCAATAAAAATCCGGAATCTTGCTGAGAGTTTTTAAATATCACTTTAAACATTTCGTGCAAGTCCTCTTTGATAGATTGTTGATAAAGCAAAAATCAAATTTTTACGGTATTCTATTTGCAAATAAGATTGATTTATCGGTTTCCGGTAAGGATCACTGGCTGCTTATTTTTAGAGCAAAAAATATTTTTTAAAGCGCTACAGCAAGAACGATGAAGAAATGTGATAAATACTCTTATTCTTTTGGTATTTTCAGTCTTAGCTCTTTTCCCGCTCTTTTCTTTCTTCATAAAGCTTCGGCAGACGATCCAATTGGAAATAAGAAGATTGAAATCCTGTATTTCCTTGTTTATTTGAGACTCTAAATTCTTAGTTTAAGAGTTGTTGAGATAAAATGATGCAGATGTAATCGATTTCATATGCCAGGAAGGATTTAACTGTGTATATGGAGCGATTTAAAATAATAGAATAAAAAAAACACACGTCTATGTCAATTCTTTGATTTAGAACTTATTCTTAAAATCAATTGGAAAATCAATGTAAGTACTGATTTGGTCTTTTTTAGAGTGTTAATTTAAGGAGAATTAAGAGCAAAATCTTGAATTAAGATCAGAATCAGAAAAAAAGAACTAAGAGCTAAAGGACAAAATCAGAAAAAGGAATTAAGTACGAAATCTTGAATTAAGAACAGAATCAAAGAAAGAATTAAGAACAGAATCAGAAAAAAATTAGAAACTAAATCATTATAATTTAAGGAAAGATCACTTTATTATTTTAATAAGCAGTCAAATTAAAATTTTTTAAGCTTTCAAAAAAAAAAATAAATCTTCTAATTTACATAAAAATTGTTTTATTGTTTTATTGACGTATTATCGAAAACTCTATTTCTAATAAAAATTTCTGTTTGTATTGTTATAGAGTTTATTTTTATCAAATATTCTGGGCAATTTTTAAAATTAATAAAAATAACTTTAAAAACTTTTTGCTACTTTTCTACTATTCATGATTTATAAGATATTCTGAATAAAAAGTCTAAAAAAATTAAATTCTAAAAAGTTAAATTCTTATAAAAGTTAAATTCTTATAAAAGTTAAATTCTTATAAAAGTTAAATTCTTATAAAAAAAGTTAAATTCTGAAGTATTCTGTTTACAAACATAACTGATTTATCGGTTTCCAATAAAATTCCCTTGATGCATATACTTAGAGAACTAAATATTTTTTCAAGGATCGCTGAGAAAAAAAAAAAAAAAAAACGAAACTTGATGAATGCTTTTATTCTTTTGGCATTTTTCCTCCCAGCTTTTTTCCCGCTCTTTTCTTTCTTTAAAAAAGTTTGGTAGACGACCCGACTTGAAGGACGATTGAAGGGCTCGAGCCCCAGCGATTACTGGTCGATACAAATACCGCACTCAGCTTGCACCAACCACAGTGCTGACGTAAAATATCCTCAGTGTAGACGGACCATAGGTCAGTGACCTCTTGCCGTCGGACTAACCGTGGAAGGTATTCGTGGTTTTTCTCTCCATATAACGCAAATGCTGGTTAGTGTCAACAAAAAGTCTTCCACGAAGGCGAAATTTCTCCAAATACTTGATCCCGGAATTCTTTTGTCTTTAGGGTTGGTTTCAAAATTTCAAGGAAACGACGTTGCATAATGGAACCGTAAACTCAAAAATTTGGTCGGCTGATCAGTGTCGGTTATAAAATAAAATAAAAATAAGTTTACTTCGTAAACTACTGGAGAAAATAAAAACTTTTAATTTAGAAAAAGAAAAAAAAAAACCTGCGTTTTTTTCAAATTCTTTTTCCTTATTAATCAGTAATAATTCAACAAAAATAATTATAATACATCTATATTTAAATATTGGGGAAAAGGAATAGAAATTCCATCAAAAAAGTTTTAATGCTCACTGAATGAAGTATAAAAAAAATACATATGTAATTCAATGAGTAATACAAAATCAAATTAAATATTTTTATTAAAGAAAATTTATAGGGTTTAAACAAAAAGCGAAACTCAAAAGAAAAAACCCAATATAGCATAAAATTAGATTCCGTGTTTATTTTGTATCAGGCGTTATTGTTATTTCTTGAATTTTTTGAGGTTTTATGAATTTCAAATACAAAACATTTTCTTTCCAAAAAATCCCTTAAACTACAAAAATTTTAAAACAAAATTACAAACAGTGAGCAGCTTAAAAATTCGATTTTTCCTCTACTTTAATAATTTGTCTTGTTGCATTCCTGTTGTATTAAAATTTCGAAATTTGGAATGCCGTTTATTCCCAAAAAGATGACGGAAAAATAACTTATATTTACGAAGAAATATGCAAAAATAAATTGTATCAAAAAGTGGTAATTTAAATTTATTATCGCAATAAGAAAAAAAGCATTAATTTGCGATAAAATTATCACAAATAAAGATCGTCTATGAGTAATTATTTGAATGCATGATTTAAAATTCGCATGTTGTAATAAGAATCGGAATTTTTAAAATCATCAGGGATCGCATTATGAAAACTGCCAAAAAACAATTTAAGAATAACATGGATTTTCAATGAAAACGAACAAAACACAGTGCATCAAAATGTGATTATTTAAGTATTTCCAAGATGTAAAAGTACATCAATGCAAAAAAGTCGCTAAAAAAACAGAATTTTTATTAAAATGTCCAAAGTCTCTAATAAAAATATTGATCCTTAGAATCCATCAATTTGATATGGAAATATTCAAGTGAAAGGAGTGTTCTTTAACGAATCACATATTTCAAAGTTGTAAAAATTAGATGTACTTTGCCTCCCAAAATATTTTTAAATAAAGTTTTTTTTAAAGTCAGTAAGTATATTTAACTAAATTTTGTCTCATATTCACATTATTTTCTTATGTATTAAATTTTAAAGTCGTAAGTTTGTCTTATATATATATATATATATTTTTAAAAATTATATAACCTAATGTCATATAACGGTAACATAAATATAAAAAAAGTTTGCAAAAATTGACTTTTAAAGAAAAATGACCTACCAATAGGTCACAGACTCATCAGGTTCTTGTGTTCCACATTTTGAATTTTTTAGTCTAAATATTTTTTTTCTTCCAATTACAGTTAATTAGTTTACAAATCTAAGTAACCATTACTTTCGCTATGATTAATCATAATCATATTAATCTTGCAGTTTCATACATAAAACTATAAAAATTTTGTGTTTTAGTAAGAAAATAAACTCTTTCTTTTTTAGCTAATTAATTTTTTTCTCAAAAATTAGGACTTTATTTGGGGAAAAAAAGAAAATGTACAAACCACGTGGGTTGTAAGTCAAGCGTACTGGGGGAGGAGTCTCCTAGTCTTTAGAAAAGGTGACGGCATACATGCGTACGTATGACGTCGTATGACGTTCAATCCTATTGGCCAGTTCAAAATATACAATGCGCATGCGTACTAGTAGGCATAAGGGTTCAATCAGTTTAATAACTTTGAATCTATTACTAACAGGCAGTCTTACCAAACAACACTAGACCTTACTGTTACACTTTTCAGAGCAATGACTGATAAGACTGATTACTTTACTAATCAAAATGAGTATTTTTGCTTAGACCTCCTAGATGGCTTAATTGATATGTCTTTCGATGAATATGATTTTACCGTTGACGAAAAACGATTTCTTCTTTCATATAGAGATAAAGCTAATAACATTAGAGATAATACTTTTAATGGCATATTGCACCATTTGTATTTTAATGTTGTTTATAATAAAGTCGATTCTATTGATATTGTTCTAAAACTGATTAAGGAACTTAAATTGGATCTCTGGACTATGTTCAAGAAAAAATTTCCATTAAACGGATGCGACTTTTCTACCGGTAGTCTCGGAGGGAATCACGAAGCATTCATTAAAATAACGGAAGCAGGAGCCTCTAACAGAACAACAATAGTGGAACACCAGTATGATTGGTCCTACTTTAACTTGTAAGTTTTTATTTCGGTTACTTTTCTACTAAATTTTTTTTTTAAATCTTGTTTATGCTTTACCCATTATTAAAATAATTAGCGTCATTATCTAAGTTTAGTTTTATGATTTTAAGATTCATAGCGCTGAATACTGAAGAATATTTTTTTACTTACAACAGTAGTAGATTGAGTATAATAATTTTAAAATAAATGTAGAGCTAATGCAACTTTCAAATCTTTTTAAAGCTATAAAAAATGAAAATTGCACTGAATTCTTTATATTTAAATTTAAAAACACCCCCACTATAACTTTAGGGTGTAGTGCATTTGCTCATTAATCTTAGTTTATTATCATTGTTTTTAGAATATCTCTGATTCCTTAATATATTCTGGAACAAGCAATTGTCAATAATTGACAGCAGACACTTGCTTCCTTGTAATTTTTTTACCCATTTTTTTTATCAAAGTAACATTATACTTTATGAGATAAAATTCTATATTTTCATATTTATTTTCCAATTTTTGATTTAATTTCACTTATTCTCGAGTCATTTTTCTTTCTTTTTTTTTTTTTTGCATTTTTCTCTTTATAGATGCATGGAAGGGATAGTTTTTTTAAACTTATTTGTCTTTCTTTCACGCAATTCTTTTAATTCAGAATAATCATTTTTGTATTCTATCAAACAAAATTCATAATTTTCAGATTTTTTTCTTCCATTTTTTTAAAAATATTTAATAGATGTATTGTAGAGATTTTTTAAGCTCCTTTATCTTATCTTTACCCACTTATTCTAATTCAAAATAATAATTTTTATTTTATCATTTAAAATTTTCTAATTTTATTTTCAAATGTATTGCACAGATTAATTTCTAAGCTTCTTTCTCTTTATTTTACCCATTATTAAGGATTATAATTTTGTATTTTATCAAACAAAATTCATATTTTTTTAATTTTTAAATTTTTTTTTACTTAATAAATTTTTTGCCAAGGTTCTTTTTCTTTATATTTTTTGTATTATTACAATTTTATATATTTTTACATTTACCCATTTTCTATTTATACATTTTTTGTAACTAATTTCCTTCTAATCGAAATAATATTTTTTGTATTTCATCAAACAAAGTTTCTAATTTTCTGAATTTTTTTGTCGATGTTTATTTTTAGTTTTTAATTTTTTATTCTTGTCTTATTATCTCGCATTACCTCTAAAAAGATGCGTCGTAGATATCTTTCTTATCCTACATCGTTCATCCACCCATTTGTTTTAAATAATTCAGAGAAATATATATATATTAACAAGTAAAATTCATTAGTTTAAGACTTTTTTTGCGCTTATTTTTTACCCCTTTTTTGCTTCTTTTATGAGCAATTTTACACATTTTCTATAGCTAAAGCAAGTGCTTCACATTTATTGTTTGGTGTCATTGGTGCATTAGAGAACCATTGTTTTCTTAACTTATCAGGAGATTCATTTTTAATGTTCTTTATCTTTTGATTGTCCATTTCTTTTAAATTAAAGTAATAATTTTGAACTTTGTCAAACGAAATTGGTAATTTTTAGATTTTTTTCTTCTTTTAATTATATTTTTTTCCAGAATTTTTTTTCCTTCAGATTTATTGTAGTAGTTCTGTTTATGCCTAAAGTATTGTTTAAATTGAAATTAATATTTTTACTTTCCAAAAATAATATTTAACGGCCATTTTAAAAAAAAAATATTCACATTGAGTTAATAAATACATTAAATAAATTAACTGATCCTGCACAAAATGTTAACATTGTTAAACATTTCTATCTAATCTAAAATGCTTTTCTTAAATTATGTATCAAAACAATGCACACGATTGTAAATGATTTTTGACTTCAAGTTATTGACAAGATTTTTATGCAGTTCTTGAGTTTTATTTCTCTGAATATATAGATAGTTGGGCTTTATATAGACATTTTTTTTAAAGGAGAAGTTTCACTTTACATTTTATATCGTAGGTGTGCACAACCTTTTTGAGTGAAGGGCCACATTCACAGCAGATTGACAATTGAAGGGTCGCAAGCCAATGTATTTAGACAGATATATTGACAGCAATTGTAGGTAGTAATTGTTATATAAACATATAGGGGCACTAAATTCCTTTTGTCAGTTCACTTTGTAACATGCTTGCATAAAATTAAATACTTTAAATGTTTAAAATTAGAAACTGCAAAACTGATTACGTAGAGAAAAAAAACAGAATCAGAGAAAAAAAATTATTTGATAAATTGAAACAAATAAAAATTATAAAAAAATTCATTTTTTAACCATATTACATATTACAAAAGTCAACTTAAACATAAATTTTAACATTAAAAAATTTGCTTATAGAATTAAATTTAAAAATAAATTAATATTCTAGGGAACTATGGGAAAATTCATTAATTAAAAACTATTAGAAAATTCATGTTTTTTTATACCGTATTACATAGGAAAAAAGTCAATTTAAACATACATTTTAACATTAAAAAATTTGTTCATGGAATTAAATTTAAAAATAAATTAATATTCTAGTTATTAAAATAAATGCAAGTTAAATACTTTGATTTAAAGAAAATTTTAAGGTTAAAAATGATTCAAATTAAAACAAAACCCCTTCAGCGGAAAATAAGATTTAACTTTATAACATTTATTTTGAATTAATTATAAGAGGCAAGGGCTGAGAGAGGGAAGAAAACATTATTTTTGAAGAAACTATTTTCCTTAATAATAAAAAAACTATTAAGATACTTGTTTACAACTTTTCATGACAAAAATTTTTTTAACGCGACACTATTTTCAATTAATACACAAATATAATTAACAATTAATTAAAATTTACATTACCTTACAAAGATTATCTTGTTCACATTGTTTTACAGATAAAATTTAATAATATGCAAATCATTTCCCACCATATGATCATCATATATGATATAAAATGGTCTAAGTTGGTAGAAAATGGTTTAAAAAATTTCTTATTGGTTATCCTGCAATTAGCAAAATTTTTGAAACTGTCGATTTTGACAAGGAAAATTCCTTACAGACTGCCGATCGATTTGTTCCATCTTCAATACGCTTTATAATTTTAATTTTGTCTTCTATCGAAAACGCTTTTCTCTTTTTGCCATTTTCACTACTTTCGAAACAAAAATCTTCTCTCAAGTAGATTATGTACGAATATGAAGAGTGCAGCTGCAGAATGAGTTAAATTGTTCACCATCTTGATTGTCAAGGGGTGATTTGTAAAGAATATGGTTGGAACAGATAAGAAAATTTCAAAAATTCAGCAGGTGGCCAAGTTAACTAGTTGTAGAGCAAGCTTGGGGAAAAGCGACAAAGAGAGGCTTGTCAGGGAGGGGAGAGTATAAGATAAATGTTCTGTTTGACATTTATAACAGTATAGTTAAAAGTGATAAGCACAAAGGAGGGAAATATGACTCACTGTATAGGAATGCATTCATTTTTAGTCCAAACACCTGCAAGTTTAAAGATGGAGGACTGAAAAAGATATTCAAAGAAATGAAATTTGAATCCACTATAACCGAGTTTCCAAGTTCTAAGCTGTTCACTATAAGCGTTAAAAATAACATTATTTAAATAGGAGTACGGACGGGACCGCTAAAAAGGTTCGCGACATCAAGCTTACAAGACAAAGCAAACCCACCTTGGCGATTTATTCTGGTTTGAGACTGTGATTGGACCTACGTATATTAATACACCTTAAGCTGTTTTTATTTCCTTCTCAAAATATAGTCTGACAATCGCAATCTGTTCGTCTTGAACAACTAATACTTAAGCAAAAAAAAAAAAAGAAATGCCGATTCAACTTGAATTTGCTGACTGAATGAAATCGCTGGGGGGGGGGTTGAGACGCGCCCCCCTCCACGGCTCGACTTCTTTTTGGGAGAGAATTTTTTGGACTCGGATTCCTTTACTTTAGTTGTCTCGGTAATGGGTTCTACATGTGTAGATTTCACTGGTGGCTCTAAGATTAGAACTGTAGCTGTGGTCTCCATCGTCGTTTCATGTTGACAAGGCATTTCAGTTTCCATATGCACGGTCGTCACAACCGGATCCACGGGAAACAGCTCTTCTTTCTTTTTCCTTAAAACTCGAAGGACAAATTCCGATGAATGAGGTAAATTCGAATTCTCCTGCTGCCGTTTGAGTAGTCTTTCATAACGAGCAATTTGTTGATCGATGTCATACTGCTTAGTGAAAACATCAGACATACCGGTAGCAAACTCAATTCGTTCCAATGAAATCAATGAAGTCAGGTTGCGGCACGAGCTGTTCGGTCGGCCGCTTCCCGCCTCAGGCACATCGTTGAAATGACGTAATCGCTGAGCTCTGTCACAACACAACCTCACTCTAAAAAGGTTTTAACTTTAATAAGAAGATACAATTTTTTTCTTCTGTTTATTTACAAATATTTTTTCGATATGTTTTGGATGTTCCTTCTCTAAAGAAAAAGGAGATACCATTTTGCTTTCGCTTGCGCCACAATAAAGAAGGAACGTTACAATACTACATTAAAGACGTCTCCAGAGTAACTGAATGACTGTTCATATAGAAATCGCAGGTATTCGTCTCATGCAAACAACGCCTCTTATAGTTCGTTGCGATCGCGAATGAAAAAATAACTTGTACATGATGCGAAATATCTTAATAATCATTTAACAAAGTTTAGAAATTTAATTTATCATAATATACCAAATTAGTAGGAGGAAAAAAAAAACGTAAACTGAATAAACTGAATAAACTAAAATAACATTAAAAACTTGCTCGGGATCTTCACAACCCAACAGTAGAATTGATGCTGCCGTCTGTCTGCTCAATAAAAAGCAAACTTAAGAAATGTTTAAAAAAAAAGCTGAAACTTGTTTACTGTATCAAATCGAAATGCATTTTAAAAGGAAAAAGTTAATAGCTAATTAAATTACGTATCTGAAAAAAACTGATTTTTGAAAAGAAAGTTAATATATTAAAGTTTATCAAAAATAAAAGAGATTTGATAAGTTAAAGTTTAGCAAAAATAAAAGAAATTTAATAAATTAAAGGTTAACAAAAACGTGTAGAATTTTTGAATTCTACGCATATTTTTCGCAAGAAAATTGATAAAATGTTTTGAAAGATCTTTCGAAGTTAATGTTGAAAAAAAAAAGTTATTTCTTGAAGTATTTTGTCATATAATCATATGCGATTCGAAAAATTTTGTCATTGTTTTCTGTATTTTTCCATATACGGTTTGAAAATTTTTTGCCACCCTTCTCTTCAGGAGAAAGTGTATTCTAAATTTTCAGACTGGCAATCCTTCATAATAATTAAATTTTTTCCTAACAGTTTTTTTAATTAAAATCTCTGACAGTAACCAAACAGAGATCTCTTCTTGCAACTAAAACTAACTTGCTAGTCAGACTAAAAATTTATCTGCCCCCTCTCCCACCATAATTGTTAGACTATAAACATTCAACACATATTTGAATAATCCAGGCATTACAATTTTTATTTCTTCGCACCTTCAGACTGATTCTGGATCTTGGAGTTCTATTATATAAAGGTTTATATCATTAAACTATTTTTTAAAAAAATTGAACAGAAACATGCACAATTCTTATGCTGGCTTCCCTCTTGCGCCTATGCACAAGAATTGATTTATCAATGGCTAATACTGGATTCATACACGAATTTTACCAGATTAGTTAGCACAAAACACATGCGTTTCCCAAATCAGCTCAAAACACATTACACTGCATATGCTCGCATATATATATATATA